GAGAACTAAAGTAAATGTTAGTGTAATTTTATATTTATGAAAATACACTAATTAATATTTCAGGATAGACAGAGTAATAAGTGGTAAAACACAGAATTATAGTATTATAGCGGGGATTATACTGGAGGCACTGTATTTATTTTACAACACCCTTATAGCTGTCATAAAAACACTCATAGATTTTATAAACAACAAAATTTAATCTATATTCAAATTTTAATCAAATTTTATATTAGTTATTATAGCAATCAATTGCCTAAATAAAAATTATAAAATTGTTTTTTGCATGTGTCAAAATTATTAGCATATATTATTGTCATAATTAAATACATCATGTATAACATATATCATCTATAACACGTAAGTCTTATATCATTAATTAGATTTTAAATATAAACTACCAGTATTATTATTGTAATTAAATAATTTTCATTTAAATATTAAAATGTATATTTTTAAACATTAAATTTTGCTAGATAAAATTAAATGTGTGTTAGTTATACGCAATTGTAAAACTATGTAAATTTAATTCCGGATGCACAGAGACACAAAAATAAATTGATGCGACAAAAATATATATTAAAAAACTAAATAATTTTTAACGAGGTTTTAAACTGGAGAAACAAAATATCAAAATACAAAAAATTATTCATTCATATAATTATGAGTTAAATAATATAGTATTTTCAAATCTCTCTCTCTCTCTCTCTCTCTCTCTCTCTCTCTCTCCAAAATACAGAACAGCCCGATTTTGACAGCCCTTCACTTGGCTATATCTGTTAAAATGTGATTTAGCTATATGTGCATTGAAATAATATTTTTGCTATTTAATTTAATGTTATTGTTTCTATACATAAAGGTTTGTATAAAGGCTATTTTTAAATTTTCTAGTCTAATTTTTTTGTAGAAAATAACAATTATTACAATAAAGTTATTTTAACATCCAAAATGTTAAAATTGAAGAGTTGTCTATGCTATACAGGCGTCAAAAATCATTAAAATTAGTGTTAAAATCGAAATCTGTTAAAATAGAAACATTGAGATTACAATATGCATAAGGCAACTCGGGCTAGGGTTAGTAGAACATTATGTTATAAACAAAATCTGTTGAAATCGGGGTCGTTCTGTACATTTCTGTTTATATAATATATAATTTGTCACAAAAGACTTGAAAACCGGAAAATTGTCTAAAAATCTAGGGTATTATGAAACATTTATTTCAACTAATACTGTACATCACGTATACTGTACTCAAACGGCAAATAGTGTACACTGTATATAAGGAATACTCAAAATAATAGCGTTTTTGAAACAATTTCAAAGCTAAATGGTTTTGATATTTTTATGTATTGCCTGTCGTTAATAGTCTATGAAAATAAATATGGTATTCATATTGTGTTTTATGTTTAAGAAAATTGGTTTGCGTTTTGGGTTACAAAATATGGTTTAGATTAAAAAAAATATACGTTATTGTAGTTATCGTTATTATAATGGTTTGAAATATATCCTAAATTATTCCCAAAACTACATAATTCAACAAAACATCCCTTAATTGATTTGATGGTAAACTCTTTATTTACGGCTAAATTCAAAAATAGTAATTTTTTATTATAAAATAACTTTATTTATAAATTATTATTAGTGTTTTTATAGACAATAGAAACTAAAACATCCTTGTAATTTATATTATAGACTTACATATTTCTCTCTCTCTCTCTCTCTCTCTCTCTGGGATTCAATCTTCCGTATCATTCATTTGTTGGGCAAAACTCTGTTCACAAACTTTACTTATATCACACATTGAATGCCAATGACTTCCCCAACAAAAACGGCATTCAAACACTTCATTATACATGTATTTCATTATAAATTTGTTTAATAATAATATATTATTAAAAAAGCAAAATGTTTAATTAATTGATAAAACAAACAAAAAAAGTTTTATTATTAAATCAACTAATTTTCTGGTCATTTGATTAAAACAATATTTTTATGCTTTTTTATGTGCGAAAAAATCAATGGATAATAACCACTATTGACGAGTGAAAAGCTAAACAAAACTTTTATGTTTTGCTTTATTATTGTTATGTGTTTTTTCGCCAGTATTTTATTATTATTGTTGTGAATAAACGGTTTTTGTGAATAAAAACTAATCGTAAAAATAATACAATGAATCGCTTTGTGAATGACATTTCATATACACTGATGAATACGATAAACGTATTGTTTGTTTGTCTCCTATTAACAAATCAAATATATTTGTCCACTACTTTGTCAAACATCAACGAAACCGGTAAATATTATATATTTTCTCAACCACTATCGTTTTATTATTATTTTCAATTTAATATGATTGTTTTTTATGCTATTCACACCACCCTATTTTTAGGCGTGTACTAGTTATAGTGTACTAAACATGCTAAATAGTGTACATTTTATAAGCCGCCCAATATTTTGTTTGAATCTTTTTACATAAGTATATAATAAGTGAGAAAAAAGTTTATCTAAGTTTTTAAAAATATTTTTTGTTCATATTTAAGCAAATGCTTTGAATTTATAATTAATTTGAATTAAATTTGTTGCAAAACAACATTATATTAATATAGTTAGTGAATATAGTTAATGAATTTAACCTTTCAATAGTGTACTAATTTGTTTGATTGTAGAGATAAGCCATTGATATATCGCTAGTTATTAACTGTCTGTTTGTTTAGGAAATGCATAATTTTAGCTTATTGTCATTTCTAGTGACAAAACTCACGATGGTTACTATTCAGTGAATACTGTTTATTTATACAATATTGTATACAGATATTTTCTCAAGTGATAATGAACTTCACAGATAATAACTTAATATAAGTGTTTAATTATTCATAAGCCTATTGTCTTTATGTGTGTATTAACTCGTGTGTAAAACTTATCACTAAATTAATAACTTATAATATATTTTTAAAAATTACTATCGCATGACTTGTAAGTCAATAAATTATAATTAATATTATTTAAAAATAGAAATCAATTTCTAACTAGTTAATTTTTCTCTCCCCCGCACATCACATTCAACGTCAAATTAATAAAATAAATAATAATAATAAAACTCAAAATAAATACAGACTATAATCGCGACATAAATCGTAAGAACGATAGATATAATCGATATTTTAATAACAAAAATACTGATGAAAAATCATACCATATCCTACTGACCCACGGCCTGTCCCACCGGCCCATCGCCTCCCACATGTCCATCACCTCACCGGCCGTACCCACCACTGCCAACACCACTCCCTCCCCCACCGCCGCCGCTGTTAACACCATAACACCGGCAGACTTGCGTCACATCCGGGTTAACCATAAGCTGAACGTATCGCTGATAGTGACCGGCGGTACCGATGATGGAGAGACTGGTGGTCCGGCCGATGACAGGCCAGTCAATGGCCCGTATAATGAGTTTACGGAAATGCAAGCAAAACCAGTGGCCGACAACCTTCACAATAGGGATGACACCGTACTTGTCCGGAGGCGACCGTCCAGACCACCGGCGCCCACCACTACCCCGATGTCCAGCGATGTGTGCGACTGCCGGTGCGATCCCTACGATAGGGCCCAACAGTTGGTGAACGAGTATGTGATGACTGACGACGAGGAAACAGATATGGACGTGGATGATAATACTGAGCTAGAACAGTTACAGAAACCGCATAAGTGTATGTATTATTTTTGTTTGTTATGATAATTAAGTTGTTTTTTATAATAATTATTTTGATGATAGTAAATCTAGTTTAAATATTGTTTGTAATTAAGACTAAATTGGCATTTATATTAATTTGTGCCTTATTTTTAGTTAATTAATGTTGGTTATATTATGTTAATTATAACAACTTAACGTTATTTAATAATCATGCAATAGTTTATTAGTTATAATATTTTAAAAATTGTATCTAGGATGCAATATTACTAAAAAATAAGTTGTAAATAGAAAATATTAAATTAATTAAACATAACAAACAAAATACAACATTATTTACATTAAACCCACAGATATACCAATGGAGACGATAGAGTTGGCCCACCAGCGGCCGCAACGGGTGACCACAGCGGCACCGCCACCGGCGCCCACACCCGTACCCTATATTAGCAACATAGTCAAGAACATGGGCAGTTACCTACGGCTACCCAAGCTATCATCCACGGCCATTGAGCTAGGTCTATCGCTGGCCGTCACCACCTTATTGGGTGTGTTAGGTCTATCGCAAATGAGTTTGCCTTTTGGTGGCTTTTATCAAGAGTATTTCCGCAATCTGGACCGTATGGCTGGCCCTTATGGCCAAGTATTTGGCCGCCACGCGGGTGCAGATCATCCCCTGTCCCTAATATATCAATGGATTCGTAGTTTGGATTAAATAATTTAGATTTATTGTGATTATCATGTTTATTTATTTATTGTACTGTATGCCGCAATATTTATTATGTAGTAGAATTATACATTTATTTATTTTTAAAATTATTATCACGAATAAATATTTATAATTTATTAATTAAAGTGCTAGTGACTTTATTTATACACGAAATAAAATGTTTTAGTTGTGTAATTATTTTTAATATAATGTACGGGTGATAAGTAATGGCACTCATATTATATTATACATGGCCTCGAGTTTGACTAAACGGCACGACAGGTCCCAAAGCCGTTCGGCCACCACGTCGTCCACCGCGTTGCCCACCATTTGGGTCACTCGCTTGCAGTTGCTATGGAAATATAGCAACAAAATTAACATCATGCTCATGTAACATATAAAATCACCTGTAATAATAGCCAGAGTCGTCTGCCACCAATACTTCCAGAGCGCAGAAATGGGTGGTCTGGGCGCCCATTTCGGCCGACATGAAGCAAAACGGCCCCATAAAGCAGGCTATAACGCCCCAGAAACCATATAGGTGTTTGTAGAGATCGCTACGCATATTGCCCGGGTGTAAGCAATAGGCTCGGACCCCTGTGCCATGTAGCCGTTGGGCCAACTCCCGGGTAAATAGCACGTTGGCCAGTTTGCTCTGAAAGTAGGCCCGGTATTTGCCGTACGACTGGTCGGAGTTGATGTCCTCAAAGTTGATTTCGCCGATCATGTGAGCCATGGATGAGACGTTTATTATACGCGCGCCGTCCGGTGCGGCCATCAATTTGTCCATTACCAGGTGGGTTAGTAGAAAGTGACCTGGAATTGATTGTAAAGTTAGCATTATTGTTTTAATATAATTTATAATTAGTTTATAAATAGCTCTGGAAATAAGTTATGATTATTAAATACAATTAAATTTATCAATTTGTGTGTGCAGTTTTATAACCCCATCTAGGTTTGCATGTACAGTTTAATAAAGTACTAGTTTGGTGAATGTAAATATAATAATTACCAAGATGATTAGTGCCAAACTGCATCTCAAAACCCTCGTCAGTGCGCCAATTGGGGCAAAACATAACGGCCGCGTTGTTTACTAGTATATCGATGTGATCGACCACATCGGACAGGGCTTTGGCAAACTCACGGATCGATACCAGCGATGATAAGTCCAGTTTCATGACTAGCACTTTGGCCATATCGGTGCCGGCCTCAGTACGGATATCCATAGCCGCTATGTAGGCCTTAGCCATATCGCGACAGCCCATCACTACCTGTATAACAGTTGGATAAAGTAAATGAGAGAGAGAGAGAGAGAGAGAGAGGGAGAGAGAGAGAGTGATTAAATAGATTTAAAAATAACAGTACTTTAGCTCCCAGTTTAGCGAACAGAGTTGCGTTAACTTTGCCGATCCCGGAGTTGGCACCTGTAATGACGACCACTTTGCCGGCCATAGTTGTGGGCAAATTGGTGTAGCGTTTGGGTCCATACGGTGTAAAGATTGACATTGCGTTGCGTATGAACTCCGAAGATAATTCAAACAAGTATTTGATCAGGACAAATATACGTGATATAAATGTCATTGTATTAGTTGTTTTTGGATTGAGTTATTTATGTTGGTTAAAATCTCATAAATTTATTAAATGTCCAGTTTAGTAAATAAATACCATAATAAATAAATATAACCATGTAGTATTTATAAAAAATTTTCATCACATTCAAATACTAAGTTCCTAAGATGTTTTTAGTTTATTTAGAAAAATATTTTCTCAAAATATATTTCATTTGCAGTTTCTACTAAAACTAACTTTATTGATTTATTGAATTATGGTGTATTAATTTAACATATATTAAAATGACATATATTTTAATAATTCAAGAATTCAAATGAATTCTTATTTGAATATAACTTATAATCATTGCGTGATTTAAGAAACGCACGATATGTTTATAATTTAAGTAATATTTTACCTAGAAATAAGAATTCAGGTTTAATAACTTTTTATTTAACGATTAGTTTAATTTGTTTATGCTTTAAATAATTATTTCTAATCTAAATATTTATTTAACACAAATATATAGTTTTATATAAGAAACCTATTTAATAACAATTACATAAAACAGAAATTTCATTACTGTTTAAAATAAAACTACTTTAAAAAAACAAATATTTGAATTAAGCACAAAATACAATTTATTTGCCGTTAAAAACTAATAATAAAATAACATATCTAGAACAAAAATCTATTTAAATCTAGATAATAATTTTAAAAAGAGTTTGTATGACTGGGTATTGATTGCTGGGACATACGGTCACCTATCATTTGGTGAGAACTATACACCCCGGGTAGTAGCCGACTATTATGCCCGGTGTCCGCACTTATATCAACCAAAAGCTCATGGTAATTCTCCTCATAGCTATCATTACTGCCGTTATATGAAATGGCAATTGTTTTTCTCTTATCATTATTATCCATGTGTTGGTCATCTTCTGTCAAAACTTTTATGTCTGTAATATAATGATTAGATTATTAGCCTAATGATAGTGAGGAGGGGGAGACAGAAAAAGATTATATTGCATTATTTACCCTGATACTTACATCGAAACAAAACAATGCCAATCACACACATTATTATGGGCACTAAACAGATCGCCGATAGTATAATAATGGATAAAATGGTCCGAAACTCGTACTCCTTGTTGGTAACCAAGGCTTTTGGGGATAAATTTTCAGATGTTTCACTCAACTGGCCGTTTGTGTAATTATTGTCAGTCAACTCAGTATGATCAATATGACCCTTCATAATCACTGGTGGTAAATCTGAGCTTTGGTCTGTGTAATTATTGGTAGTTAAGATGATATCCACAGAATATTTGTTGATTATTTGATCGAGATTTTCACTACTTTGATTATTGGAGACTGTTGTAGAAATATGATCATGATCAATGGTATTTATCATGGTAGTATCTGTGCTTTTTGCTGTGAAGTTAGTGATTTGGGTTGGGGTTGGAGTTGGGGTTGTTATGTAAGATAATGTATGGCTGATTGTAGGCACAGGTGTCTGCATAGTATCAAACTCTATGTTATCAATACGTATGGTATGTATTGGTATTTCCGGTGGACTTAATGCGAAACCCGATGGCAGTAAGGATTTGCGTCTCGTTGGGCAGCCAAAGAATTCAGCCGCACTTTTACCCTAATGTAATAATTTATTAATTTTAGTTACAGTATTAAGGTAAGAATCAGTGTAAAATATAAAATAACTAAAACTAACAAAAATATACTTACAACTGGCTTTATAACAAACATGTTGGTTTTGTTGCCCATATCAACACACACCTCATAAACAAGGGCATCACCGAAGCCCAGCCTATGCTCGCCAACAATATACAACTTGTGGTCAAATATCCACCAAAAAGCTGTTGTAAATACAATATCCGGGCTATTGTTGGTTAACAATCGGTGATACGAGCGCTCAATAGTGGCCACGCCTTCAGGCCCGGCGCCACTCAACTCAATTACCTCCAGAACCGGGCCATAAGTCTGACAATTGTTGATCACATGTATAAACAGATGATCATTGGGTAAATACACGGATGGTTTGTGTCGCTGGACGGGTGTGTCTGTCCTGTCCTCCGACGCCGACCTTAAATGGCTTTTAAAAAATGAGTTGAAACTCATTTTCGGGTACAGAAGCTTCGGTTTCGTATATATTATATAATGGGTTTGATCTGTACGTATTGAATACACCGTGATGTTAATTAATTGGCGGATTAGCTGACAAGCCGTGGATGTGTCGGTACAGTCCGGTACGTTGGGTATGTGGTAACCAGAAAGGTAGTAATAGCCCCTTTCTGTAATAGTTTATTTATCATAAGTTATTTTTTAACAATATACAGTATATGTTAATTATTTTACGAGGGTTTACCATCTGGAAAGTCCTCGATGCTTTTGTGAACAAATTGAGATACATTGCCTGTCCATTGATTATATGTGCCAATCCATTCATTTCTGGTCACACGGTATTCGTGTCCGTCCCACAGGACAGTGTCCACGTAGTTATGGTCACAGAATTTAGATGTGGTCTCAGAAAAGTCACCATGATTAATTAATAATAAAATGGACACATGGCGTAGCAATAGTGTATTTGTGGCGATTTTCATGTTAAATAAATTTTTAATTATAATAAATTATGTTTCGATAAGTAGTCTATATTAATAGTCTTTGACTTTCAACGAGTTATAAATAGATTAAAAATTTTTATTTAAATAATTTGTGAGAAAATAAAATTATTAATGCTAATTTATTTGTTTATATTTGTGATAGTTGCAATGGAAAAGTGTTTTTAGATACTAAATTGTTATCATAAATAAACATGATGATAACTGTCAGTGTGTTAAATCAATTGCTAATTTGGTGCGTGTGAATTATTTTGATTCGCATCTAGATATATTACATCATTCAATTAAATTACTAGTTATTTCTAGCTATGTTAGTTTTTGTGCTTATATTGTCAATTAATTGATAAAACAGTGTCATTTATTGTTGTTTTTGTTGTGAATTACATTGAATTAAAAAATAAAAATAATAAAAGTGTTATGTTTTTAGATAGTATTTCTAATAATATTTGTAAATCAAATAAATACAGCATGTGATTATTATAAAATAAATATTTAAATCTATAATTCAGTCATGTATAATAAATTATGACTAATTATGCGATATTTTTCTTAAATGTAAAATAAAATAATAAATAAAAAATTGTAAATACAAAATAAGATAGTTGCAAATTACAAGTAACACGATTTGGTCCCACCTATGTTAACGAGTCTAAATAATTAAAAAATAAAAACAGTTTTAATTACATGACAAACAACACGATAATTAATTTGACAAAACATTTTCTCTACTCAATCGAGTCTATGGTATGACATGAGACGGATCGATACGATGGCTGTCCACCGGTTGGCAGCGCTAACGGTCTGGTGGTGTGGGCCGAGGGTTTGGGCGAAGTCTCGTACTCTTCGATGTAGAAATCGTTGATCACGTATTGCCGGTCAGTGTTGGGCAGTATAGCCGACGGCCGGTGCGGTCGGGATGGCGGACGTCGGCTGAACATCGGTGTGTTGGCCGCCGACCTCTTGCCTGAGATCAACAGTTGATCTGCTCTTTGCTTATTTTTCTCACTACACTCTGGCTTTAAACCTGGAGAGAGAGATCTCTTGTTTATGAGGTGTGTGTTGATATGGGCAACAAAACCAACATGTTTGTTATAAAGCCAGAGTGTAGTGAGAAAAATAAGCAAAGAGTAGATCAACTGTTGCTCTCAGACAAGAGGTCGGCGGCCAACACACCGATGTTCAGCCGACGTCCGCCATCCCGACCGCACCGGCCTTCGGCTATACTACCCAACACTGACCGGCAATACGTGATCAACGATTTCTACATCGAAGAGTACGAGACTTCACCCAAACCCTCGGCACACACCACCAGACCGTTAGCGCTGCCAACCGGTGGACAGCCATCGTATCGATCCGTCTCATGTCATACCATAGACTCGATTGAGTAGAGAAAATGTTTTGTCAAATTAATTGTCGTGTTGTTTGTCATGTAATTAAAACTGTTTTTATTTTTTAATTATTTAGACTCGTTAACATAGGTGGGACCAAATCGTGTTACTTGTAATTTGCAGCTAGCTTATTTTGTATTTACAATTTTGTATTCAATATTTTATTTTACATTTAAGATAAATATAAAGTTAGTCTTTAGCATAATTAGTCATAATTTATTATACATGACTGAATTATAGATCTAAATATTTATTTTATAATAATTACATGCTGTATTTATTTGATTTACAAATAATATTAGAAATACTATCTAAAAACATAACACTTTTATTATTTTTATTTTTAATTCAATGTTAAATTCTATGTAATTCACAACAAAAACAAAAATAAATGACACTGTTTTATCAATTAATTGAAAATATAAGCACAAAAACTAACATAGCTAGAAATAACTAGTAATTTAATTAAATTTAAATGCGAATCAAAATAATTTACACGCACCAAATTAGCGATTGATTTAACACACAAACAGTTATCATCATGTTTATTTATGATAACAATTTAGTATCTAAAAACATTTTTCCATTGCAACTATCTCAAATATAAACAAATAAATTAGCATTAATAATTTTATTTTCTCACAAATTATTTAAATAAAAAAATTATTATCTATTTATAACTAACTTAAAGGCAAAGACTATTAGTATAGACAACTTATCGACACATAATTTATTATAATTAAAAATTTATTTAAAATGAAACTATTACTACGCTTTGTGTCCATTTTATTATTAATTAATCATGGTCATTTCTCTGGGACCACATCTAAATTCTGTGATCATAACTACGTGGACACTGTCCTTTGGGACGGACACGAATACCGGGTGACCAGAAATGAATGGATTGGTACATATAATCAATGGGCAGGCCATGTATCACAATTTGTTCACAAAAGCATCGAGGACTTTCCAGATGGTAAACCATTAGCATATATTGCCAAAAAATAACTCATGGTATATAAACTATTACAGAGAGGGGCTATTACTACCTTTCTGGTTACCACATACCCAACGTACCGGACTGTACCGACACATCCACGGCCTGTCAGTTAATTCGCCAATTGATTAACATTACGGTGTATTCAATACGTACCGATCAAACCCATTATATAATATATACCAAACCTAAGCTTCTGTACCCGGAAATGAGTTTTAACTCATTTTTTAAAAGCAATTTAAGGTCGGCGTCGGAGGACAGGACAGACACACCCGTCCAGCGACACAAACCATCCGTGTATTTACCCAACGATCACCTGTTTATACATGTGATCAATAATTGTCAGACTTATGGCCCGGTTCTGGAGGTAATTGAGTTGAGTGGCGTCGGACCGGAAGGCGTGGCCACTATTGAGCGCTCGTATCACCGGTTGTTAACCAACAATAGCCCGGATATTGTATTTACAACAGCTTTTTGGTGGATATTTGAACATAAGTTGTATATTGTTGGCGAGCATAGGCTGGGCTTCGGTGATGCTCTTGTTTATGAGGTGTGTGTTGATATGGGCAACAAAACCAACATGTTTGTTATAAAGCCAGTTGTAAGTATATTTTTGTTAGTTTTAGTTATTTTATATTTTACACTGATTCTTACCTTAATACTGT